CCATTCAAGTGTCGGTATAGTAGCTGTAATAAGGCTTACACGACTGCTCAGGGTCTTAATGATCACGTAAATGGTGTTCATTTAGTTAAGAGTGTTGTATGTAATCTATAAAACGGTTGAAATACTTATTCTGATATAAAAACTGAATTATTTTGATATAAAATCCCAAATCATTATTAATTTCTATTTTAAATACTGATTGATATTCACTACAATTGAATGTCATTTCAATGTAATCAATAGCTTATATGACTGAATGTATGTTATTATAGATTTAATTTTTATGAATCACTTGTAAATGTGTAGTTAAAAATGTTTTTAATCAAAGTATAACTCATTAACTATTTGTTTGAATTTGATAGTGCATTATAAAAATGTTTGTCTAATTTTAACTCACAATTTACACAATGTTTTCAATCATTCATTTTAATTGACATAAGTTTTTAATTTGTAATACAATTTGGCATAATTTTGATTATAATAATAATAATATGTTACCAGTATAAATATAATTTGTAAAATAAATAAAAATTAATAATTCAAATACATTTCTCTAAATATTTAATTTCGACAAAATATGTGTGAAATAAACTGCAAATATTTGGCAAAACTTTTAGCGACTTTTAGGCACTTTTTTTTGATTGCAATAGTAATCGGCATTTGTTTGAAGTTTTGTCGCAAATATTCACAACAAATGTTACATAAATAAAAGGGGACAGGGTTGTTCACGTGAGTGCATTGTAGGCCAAACCAAAATGTGTACAAATCTAAACTGTATATTAGTGAACACATTGCTATAAATCTCTCATTTAATTCAAATGAACACAAATTTCATTAATTCTTAATTATCATGTAACCCAGAACATTTTGTCAACTATTTCAACGCCCGCCCACCCCATTAAATACATACTGAATATGTGTACCACTCCTCCCCTATATTCAGTGCAATCGATGAAATGTATTGAATGAGTGATGCAATCATTTTGAACGACTGAACGGTGAGTAAAGTTTAGTCAGTGTTTAGCTATTGTCTCGCAAAGTGGTCCACATTTGCCTCCCATTCCTCTCACAGTCACACCAAACAACTCGTTGTCCACACATTTGACCACAACTTCAGTAAGTATTAGTTGTAATGATAATGAATACAAACATATGTTTGATGACCGCAGTTATAATGAGCGCCACAACAGACCATTGCTTCATAAGAGTGTTACTGAAGAAGTACCCGACGGTTAGCGAGGACACCATCGACTTGTTGACCGGGTTTGGCTTCACAGACCGGGATCAACTGGTGATGATGGACATCGACAAAGTGCTGTCCAAACTGCCGCTACGCTTCATTCAGCAGGAGTTTGTGAAAACCATTTTACTTGCGATCCAAACGATGGATAAACAGAGTTTGGACACCACTCTGGAGAGGAATCTCAGGGACACCATGGATGAGATGAACGCTCAGTTCGGGGCCAACGCGTCAAAGACTGAACCAATGGCTGATCCCTCGGCACCACTCGCATCGACCGCAACAGCGCTTCCTATAGGTATTCATGAATAGCATTCACTGTCACCTCATAACACATCCAGTAATCACTGATTTCTTGTCACCCATAGCCTCGACCAGTGGTCCATCGACTTCGGGGGCATTT